TCGTGGTTTGTGATTACTGGGTGTCCGAAAAGCAAGCGTTTCATGGAAAGAGTGAAGCTTAACAGGTACCTCTGGTTAGTGTCTGTTTTGGAATTTGACTCCATTCTGCAATGAGCTCATGAGGGGCTCCTGGCGAGACTCGCGCGGAGCTTTCAACAAGTGCTATTGCACTCGTTCACCCCCTTCCTACGTTTAAAAGAAAAAGGACCTTGTGCTGGCTCGTGCTATTTTGAACCATTAAAATGAAATAAAACTTGACTTCCTTTCCAGAGCTGAAATCATACTTTTCCAAACGTGGCTCCAGCAATCTTGTATCTGGGGTAATGGATTGGGGGATGATTAGAGTCAGGTGTGTTACGCTCCTCCTCAGCCAAGTTGAACCCAAAACAAACCTCTAACCGCCAGTGTTCAGTTCGCTCTTTCATTCGTTTCTTCCATTTCTCCTGTTCTGTGCAGCTCGTGCTCACAGGATTAAAAGTGTCATTTCAAATGTTTAGTGATTCAAAGTTTGTTCTGCAGAGAAATGAGTCATTCTCTTCCTGCGTAACCACTATCAAGCACCAATTACAATGACAAAGTCTATTATATAGCATTTTACAGGAAAAAATGTGTAATGGAAGTACTCTGTATACTTAAGAGCACCAAGATTAATTCACAACATGAATAAACATGCATCCCAATCATCACAAATACTTATAAAGACCTTTTAGAATCCAAATGGACCCAAGATTCGCATAGAAATCAGTCAAGTTTGGTGAAGGAAAAATCATGGTTTGGAGTTACATTCAGAATGGGGGCATACGAGAGATCTGCAGAGTGGATGGCAACATCAACAGCTTGAGGTATCAAGACATTTGTGCTGCCCATTACATTACAAACCACAGGAGAGGGAAAATTCTTTAACAGAATAGCGCTCCTCATACTTCAGCCTCCACTGATAGCAAAGAAGGTGAAGGTGTCCCAGGATTGGCCAGCCCAGTCACCAGACATGAACATTTTTGAGAATGTCTGGAGTAAGATGAAGGAGGAGGCATTGAAGATGAATCCAAAGAATCTTGATGAACTCGGGGAGTCCTGCAAGAACACTTTCTTTGCCATTCCAGATGACTTTATTAATAAGTTTTTTGAGTCATTGCAGAGATGTATAAATGCAATCGTCCAAGCTTATGTGAGTCATACACATTAGTAATTATTTTTCCTCTGCAGCATGACTTTATATTCTATACTGTACATTATTTCGATTACGTGACGAGACTTGTCTAAGCAAAGTTAGACCTTACTTTCCTAATTAAATAATTAAAATTCAAGGTATGATCATATTTTATTTTGGTAAAGTATGTGTAATCTAGAGGCCTTTGCCTTTCATATAAGCCACTTCTGATACCAAATGATCAACCAGAAGTCAAGTTATTATTTGTTGTTCCTAAAACTTGGATAGGAGACAAGACTTTTGTCAGGTAGTGTATCTATGTATGATTAGCTGCGATGACTAGAGGCCTCATATATAAAACTTTGCCTAGAAACCTGACAAAAAATGAAGGTGTACCAGATTGCAGAAAATTTCCCACAATATCAGCTTTATAAATCACAGTTTACCTGAGAATCTGTGTATCTGGAAAAGTCTTACATACCTGCCGTTACACACCCACTTTCAACTATATTTAGCCAATGCAAATCACTTTATGAACTTCCATGTGTATTAAAATGAGCCCCAAATCAATGGTTCTGCATGCCCAAGGAAGTGGCGTACACATTTATCAGGTCTGTTTTGTGCATACACAACAATAAAAGAGGCTCGAGAACACAGCTGACAGATGAACAGGCCTTCGAGCATTCACTATATTCACCTCAGAGAATAAAGCACATTTGTTGTATTTTGTGTTGCATGTGATTAATTTTGAGTACTCACAACTTGCTTGCTTTTCATGGCATAAGAGGATGGGCTGTTTTTCTTCTCTGTTAGGCTCAACGAAGGAACTGATGGTAATTATTTTTATGACCTTAAAGTAAACACTGCTTTTTCAGGGGTCAGGGGTACAATATTAAATATTTTTCTGATGTACTCAAATGTCCACGAGTGATTTCATGAATTTAAGTTTAACAACCCTGTTTCTCAAATAGATCAACTCCCTCTACTCTCTCAACTAGCAGGCCGACCGTTGGCCAGCACCCAAATTTTGACTATAAAGGTGAGAACTTCTTGCAGTAACACTGGAAGCTTAGCCGTAGGACAACTGCTCATTGCCCAAAATTCTCAGACATTCAGTTGAAGTCAGAATTATTAGCCCCCCTGAATTATTTATTTCCCCAATTTCTGTTTAAAGGAGAGATTTTTTTTTTCAACACGTTTCTAAACGTAATAGTTTTAATAACTCATTTCTAATAACTGACCTATTTTTATCTTTGTCATGATGACAGTAAATAATATTTGACTAGATATCTTTCAAGACACTTCTATACAGCTTAAGGTGCCATTTAAAGGCTTAATTAGGTTAACTAGGCAAATTAGGGTAATTAGGCAAGTTATTGTATAACGATGGTTTGTTTTGTAGACTATTGAAAAATATAGTTTAAAGGGGCTAATAATTTTGACCTTAAAATGGTGTTTAAAAAATTAAAAACTGCTTTTACTCTAGCCGAAATAAAACAAATAAGACTTTCTCCAGAAGAAAAAATATTATCAGACATACTGTGAAAATTTCCTTGCTCTGTTAAACATTATATGGGAAATATTTAAAAAAGAAAAAACTTCAACTGGATGTAATGGTCTTCCAATGTGACCGCAACAGGCTCCCTAGTCTTTAGAGAGGAAGATGATGGCACGTCTCTGAGGTTGTAAATAATCTCCTTACTTGACATTTTATTATTCATTCCTAATCTGTCTTTTATCCACCTGTTTTATTACTTGTGTTAAGCATTTATAAATTTTTATTACTCATTAATGAGGTCCTTTCTCCCACAAACACATAACAGTGATATTGGTTGGGCCTTTTTATGCTGATAATGACAGCTGTAATTACGTTTGGATGTGAGAAGCACCAAAAACAAGGAACTTTTCCAGTCCTCCTTCACTGTATTTTCAGAGATTCAAATTTTAAAGTCAAGTTCGTTTGGAGTCCACCATAGAAATATTAATCGAATTAATCGAAATTCAGTTTCCATTTTGGGTTTTATGATTATGCAAAATAATAATAATCATTAAAATGTTTAAATTGTGCCTCTCTAAATTGCTCTACATTCATACCTCCTCAAAGCCGGATTGCAGTAAAATCATGTAAATTGACTTTTGCAGCATGGGACGCGTCTCGTTAATGGCTATTTGTATTATTAAGCATTTAAAGCCTTTATTCATATTTTTAAAAGCACGAAAAGGAATTTGTACTGGTCTATGCATGTGCTGTAGGGGTGTATGTCCCCACCAATATCAAGAGCAAATCTACACCCTTGCTGAGTGCAGTGTAGCACTAATAAAGTTTTATGAATGCGCACAAAGACACATGGCCATAGTAAGAAACTTTGGTTTGGTTTTCAACAAAGCCTGGCTTGTTTGGTACGGGACAATCATGTAATTCTTGTGTATTTATATTCAATGCTATTATGTGGACTATGGAAAAGTGCAACCGCTTATAAAAATATCTCCCTTTGTGGAAAGAAAAAAGAAATGTATACAGCGCAGACATAATACCAGATTGATACTTTTGGTTGACTATCCCTTTAATTTCATTCATTTTCCTTCAGCTTAGTCCCTTATTAATCAGGGGTTGCCACAGCGGAATGAATTGCCAACTATTCCGGCATATGTTTTATGCAGCGTATACCCATCCAGCCACAACCCAGTACTGGGAAACACCCATACACTCTCACATTACACACACATTCATACACTATGGCCAATTTTGCTGATCCAATTTACTCGTACCACATATGTCTTTGGATCTTAAGGAAAACTGGAGCAGCCTGAGGAAACCCTTGCAAATACAGGGTGAACATGCAAAATCCACATAGTAATGCCACAACTGGCCCAGCAAGGACTCAAACCAGCGACCTTCTTGCTGTGAGGCGACAGTGCTTACTACCGTGCTGCTCCCTTTTAAGAGTTCACACTTAGCTGATGATTGATTATAAAGCTTGTTTGGCATGCTGTCCAGTGATCTGTGATCCCAGGGGTCCCTACCGTTTGCAAGGTGAGAGGGGAGTTTGAGCTCAGGTAGATCTGGAGAACTCCCCTGCTGTAGTAGCTAATGAACAGATAGTGATTGCTCTTCAGATATAATTACTTAGCATGTCTATGGTGTCGATTTGGTTTAGTCAATTAACTTAAGTTGCACGTTTTTGGACGGTGGGAGGAAACCAGGGGAAACCCACGTGAGCATGGGGAGAATGTGTGAACTCCACACAGAAACGTCGGCTGGCTTGGTAAGGACTAGAACCAGTGATGTTCTTGCTGTGAAACAACGGTGCTAACCACTGGGCCATCATGCCACCCATCTAGGAAAGGAGGAGGAGTAGGGGTGGAAGGAGGGATTCTTTAAAATGAAGATGGCTGTTTTACGGAACGTATTAGGGTATTTATAGTGGCTTAGGAATCGTCTGATTGGTGAATCATAAATTGAATAATGCGGGACCAGCTGTTAGCAATCATAAGCATGTGATCCTCTTAAAATAAAATTAGTTTATAAATAAACTTCACTTAATTTAATTTGTCCTATTTTTGGACTCCAAAATAGGTTATGTAAACAAACAACCAAAATGCAGAAAAAAATTGGTAGCTTTAAAGAGTTTTGCTTGAGCTAAAATTAGGCAATAGTCTTCACCTGGGAACGACCGTAAAAAACAAGGAACATACATCCAAAACACACAAAGACACAACGATCAAGATTAATCTGCATAAACATTGAAGACTGCCAAGTAACTTCAGCAGACGCTGGGTCTAACTGATTAGAAAGAAAACCACATTGATTGGTCAGAGAAAGAAAAAGAATGAAAAGAAACCAGTCACCTCATTTCAGAGTTGTAGCATAGCTTTGTTTATTTTTTTATTTCATTTTCATTTTATTTATTTTTTTTGCATAGGGAAACATACTCACTTCCAGTACTGTATTCATGAGCGATTTTCTTTTTTTTTTTTTTTTTTTTTTGCGAACAGCGATGGCTGAATACAATGTTATAATGAAATATTGTTAAAGCTGTAATTTCCCCCTCACACCAGTTCAAAAACACATGGCAAATTTAGTTTGTTGTGCATGAGAAAAACAAAGTCTTTTCTCATCTGTTTCAAAAAACGTACATACCGACTTTTGCTGATAGGTTACAATTTAGCGAGAAACAGAGACAAATAACGAAAATCTGATGCGTTGTCCAAAAGAAGACGGATGCATGTCACCGTGTCAGTTGTGAATGTGTCTGAACTAAATGTCCACATGCCCCTTCCTGGTGTGAAGTGTGTTTATCTGTGCAGCAAGCAAGCGTTTAATGAGTAACTACTATGGTAATATTTGTAAAGAATAATGTGATTAAAAAAGAGGAAGGAAAAAAACCAACGAAAAACCTTGAAATTTTAACACTGCATCAGAATGCTCTCTGAAAAACATTTCAACCTTCGTCCTTTCAACTCGAAGCATCGAGAAAACAGCATGCTTAAAAACAAAAGAAACAACAACGGTAGAGATATTTATAGAAATGAAACAAAAATTGGGAAGAGGGCACCCTGAAAGATTGATGCGTGAATTTCGGGGGTGTCAAACATTCGGGAGCAGGCGGTGTGTCAGGGTGTTTTTGGCAATTCATTTGTGAAAGACTTATCAAAATATTGCATAAATCGCAAAAGCCTATGAATGGCTTTTCTGACTAACAGGTATTCTTCAGGTAATTCGATCTTAGGGCCAGGTTTAGAAAAGCCTCACAGCATCATAACAACCTTAAACGTTAGTTAATAACGTGATAGTGAAAGGCTTTGTCAAATCTGTCCACTTGGATCCAAGATTACATACAAAAAACATCTGAATAACAAAAGCTGTTTCCACCACTGCAGAGTAGAGTAAAAACACGGATTACACAAGGTTGAAGAAAAGAAACCAAAGCTGTACAGGCACTGCATGTTAAATTTGTGTATTTACCCCATTTTAAAATGAATATTAATATTATTTCACTGTTTATAACTTTGATTTGCACTGCTGGTTTGCTAAGGGAGCGTCGAAACAACTAGCCATTCTACAAATGTTAAGGATGGGTCTCCATTCATATTGAACTGTACTGTATCCCACAAACACTGTCTGTGCCGCCATTAACTCTACAGTCATCGAACTCTGGTGGAAACCCTCCATCATCCCCAAAGCTCAATCTCAAACAATGCTGCAAAGTTTGAATTACACTTTTCAACGGGGGAATGCCAAAATAATCAGTGACCTCACCTGCACACAAATGCGCTCTAAGGAGGATTCGCTTTCAGACCTGGGCAAAGACCAATGCGCAAAGACCAGTGTGTGAATGCTGCGTTCACTTTGTGTCAGAATTACTGTCATGGAGTGCAATCGTACTTGTATACTTTTTCAGCTGGGTACTGGATGTATTTTTCACAATCGTTTTTCCACAAAGGGGCTTTTAAAAAGTCTTCATGAAAGTGTTTTTAGCCTATAAACAAACTATTCAGCTGGAATTAATTCTAATTTAATTTGAAGCAAAAAGACAGAAGTACAAGAGAGTTTAGGGCAGGGGTGTCCAAACTTAGTCCTGGAGGGCTGCTGTCCTGTATAGTTTAGCTCCAACTTCCTTCAACACACCTGTCTAGAGGTTTCTAGTATTAGCTAGTTCTGGTGTGTTTAATTGGAGTTGGAACTAAAATATGCAGGACACCGGCCCTCCAGGACCGAGTTTGGACACCACTGGTTTAGCAAAAGAACTACTATCCCATGAAGCATTGCAAATGACAGTTGAATTAAAGTAGTTGGTTGTAGCTACAGAAACATTCATTCGTTTATTTTACTTCTGCTTAGTCTCTTTATTCATCAAGGGTCGCCACAGTGGAATGAACCAACGCCAACTTATCCAGCATATGTTTTGCACAGCGGATGTCCTTCCAGCTGCAACCCAGTACTGGGAAACACCCCACACTCTCCGTACACTACGGGCAATTTTTAATTCCATCCAATTCACCTATAGAGCATGTCTTAGGGCTATGGGGGAAAGCGGAGCACCTGGAGGAGAACATGCATTACTCCACACAGAAATGCCAACTGACCCAGTCATGACTTGAACCAGCAACCTTCTTGCTGTGAGGTGACAGTGCTAACCACTGAGCCACTGTGTTGCCACTACAGAAATAGTCTTTTATAAAGTTTATAGCATAATATGCATACATTTTTTGAGAATGTAGACAGATGAAATCATTCGCAGTGCTGTCTATCGATCTCTTCTGGCAAGAGGACAAAAAATGATTGATGAATGTAGTGAACATTTTGTAAACACCCCATTAGCTAACTCTGACCAGAAGTAAACGCAGTCGTTATTCCTTCATAACTAGTCACTGTATACTATAATGCTAAATCAAGCCTAGATTAAGCTTTACACACACTGATGAACTCCTTAATATTAGCAAAACATCAGGATTTGTTGCATAGATGGTATTCAGATTTTTACAATCGCCAGATCCCTCAAAACCTTTAGTTTATTACAGCTGAGCAGTTTGACTGAGCTGTCAATGTGGGTTCCAAACCAGCCAGAATGACACTGAAAAAGTAAGGATCAAGTGTAGAAACTGCATTCAGCCCTGAAGAGTTTGTCCAGCCCTTACTAACAAAAGACAAAACAAAGATCTGACCGCATGCTCACCTTTCTATCTGCTTTCGACTATGCAAAGTTCACAGCATTGTGAGGTTTGTATTACAAACCACACAAGGAAAGGTACTTTTTCATGTCTGATCGACCTATCAGTAAGCCCCTCCTCTTAAATGCAGATCAGCCAATGGCGATTGAGAACTCAGACATATTTAGGTTTCAGCGCCACAGGTAAACATGGGAAGATCTGATACTTGATGTTTGATGGGGTTTGTGATACAAAAGTAGTGAAATGATGAGCCTGGGGTGCTTGTAAAACTGATTCCAGGTATCCTGAGAGGATGAGCCGTAGAACTAATCTAAAACAATTCCTAACCACTAAACAAGACAATTTAATGTCCAGAAGATCGAAAAGGATGTATACATTCATTCTAAAGTAAGTTGCAGAAATCACTATATAGTAACACAGCCTCTGCCTTGGGTAAGTTAGTTAAGTAGTAGGGATGCACCATTTTTTTGACAATAATTAATAATTATTAATGATTATTAGCTTAAAATGGAATTTTTGTTTTTTTGTCATAAAAAAGTTTAGTGCTCTGGCTTCACTCTCCCTTCATCCAAAGTCACTGTGCAGTGTGAAGCAGCTTTCACACCAGATGCAGAAAGCTCTGTGCAATAAAACCATAGTATGAAACCCATTCATTTCACTGGCGAGTCTGGTTTATCACTGCGCTGATCAATTTTGATTAGCTTTATATATGCTCTGAGGTCAAAATTCCAAAAAGCTTAATTTTCTGTTGTGTGGATATTTTGTTCTTGTACACGTATACTTATTTAGGCATTAGCCGTACATGCTCACTGGAAGTTCAAAGCAAAGTTCACTCAAATAACATGGCAATAGGACTATGTCAATATCTATTAGGAGTTATATGGTATGCTTGCTCCTGTTGCGCTGCTGTGCTGTCAAAATTACACCTCTCGACTCATTCGCTGTCAATAAAATTTTACTATTAATATAATGTAATTTTATTGTCTTGTGTTTTTTTATTTTTGTAATTTAAGGTAATAGACTATATTTAAAAGGGCTTTCAAAATTCACTCATTAATCTTCGGCTTAGTCTCTTTATTAATCAGAGGTCGCCACAGCGCAATAAACTGCCAACTTATCCAGCATATGTTTTACACACCGGATGCCCTTCCAGCTGCAACCCAGTGGTTGGAAACATCCACACACACTCATTTACACACACACACAATGGCCAATTTAGTTTATTCAACTCACCTATAGCGCATGTCTTTTGACTTTGGGGGAAACCGGAGCACCCTGAAAAAATGCCAACTGAGCCAGCCAGGCCTCGAACCAGCGATCTTTTTGCTGTGAGGTGACTGTGCTAACCACTGAGAAACTGTGTCACCAGCTTACAAAATACTTTATAATACTTAATCAAACAATAAATACATATTACAAAGCATTTTAAGCTTCTGTTTCCATTTTCAGCCCAGAATTTTTATTTTGTTGCATCCCTAATAAGCAGCGCATGTATATCAGCGCTTCTTCATATTAACCTAGTTAAATGTAATCTTGTTAATGTTGATATCATTTTATTTAAGCTTCCCCTGCAGTACATGAACACTGCTGATCCTGGATGTCATCTGCGGTAGTGACGATAACTAAAATATTTTACATATCTCTACATGGCATATGCTCCTCATAATGTTTAAAGCTCCTCAGAATGTATCAAAAACATATTGGGACTAGATTCTGTAAGACATTTAGCAATTGCATTTTGTTTGTCTGAGTTAGCAATAAGTATCTGTGGGGCACAGCTTACCGATAGGTCAATTCTTTATGAGTGCCTGAGTAGAATCTCCTCACATCCTGTTTATGTCAGTGGGTGAACAAGGAAATCTACATTCTATTCAGCATAATTACATGTGTCAATGACTAATTAAAGTGCCTGGACCTCAGAGTTAAACAATCTTTTTAGTGATGCACATTCTGCCGATTCTGGTAAATACAGGCATGAGTGGGCTGATGGTAGAAAACGAGAAGAACACACAGCGTTAACCCACATTCAACAGCTCCAGGCTGAATCTAGGAAGGCACTCAGAAGAGTGAGGTCTAAAGTCCTGCTAGATCTGTTAGTCTGTACACACAAACACACACATACACACTCACACATGCGCGCACGCACACACCATAAATCTATTAGCCATGCCACTGATTGTCTACAGGCGGCCAAAGTAACTATATGGCAAAAAAAAAAAAAAACTTTTTCAGGTAAAAAGAATTAAACACCCCTAATTTATTTTAAATACATTATACAACATATATTGTAAACAAGCATTCAAAAGTTTGGGGTTGATTGATTTGAGGTAAGATTGTAGAAATGAAAAAATCTGTCTGATCAAAATGCTACTAGAAATGTATTTAATATGACTATTAATACTTTTATGTCTCTTTAATTTAAAAAGTATTAATTTTCAAAAAGAGGAAAAAATAATCTTACTGCCCCCAAACCTTTGAACAGTAAACTGAAGAAAATGGTGTGGAAACAATTTCCACTCATAAATTGCTGGTTATCTTAACAAATAACAAACAAATTTAGATAAACATGACATCGTGGACCAGTAAAAACTAAATAGTATTTTGTATTTCATACGCTTAACATCATTTACAACTTTTAAATATGTTTTAAATCTATATATCTTGAAGTTTATTCTTTTCATCCCATTGGCGAACACAATCACTAAAATTAGCTAAAAAACTGTGCCATTGGGAACGACAAATAAACCTAATTTCACGAGTTCACAAGCACTTAGATATTGCTTGACAATATTAGCAGGTTTGGCATGCTGTCCCGGGAGAGAACCTTGAGCTCGGAGATAATTGAGCCAGGGCTCCCGCCTGGTCGATAAGCATGTAAGGGGGTACAAGATCAGGTAGTTCTCGAGAGCTCCCCCTGGGGAAGGAGGAAAAGGGGGAGATGGGGTGGATGGGGGTACTCTTATTAAACGTAATTTCTATTAAGAAAAGAAGGTAATTTTAAGACAGGCTATTTATAGTGAGTTAGATTAATCTGATTGGCTTACTAATGATTACAGATGGGAGACCAGCCGCAATCTATCATATCACATGCTCCTCTCGAAATTAAGCTGTGGGTCACACTGCACTTTTCTCCCCGTAGACTTCCATTCATACGCATGCCAATGTGTCTGGAAACGCAAGCTCCTGCTATAGGTTTCACAGTTCGCTGCGTTGAAAGTTCAAGCTTGGTGAACTCTAACCTGCGAAATTGGATCACATGATTGCATGAGACTAATCGAAGATCAAAACATGACCTCTCTGGACAGAAATTTAAAACATGGACCAATGGCTCGCTTTTTAAATGTCTAATCATCCTGTTTAATCCCACCCCTTTTTCGTAGCGCCATACGACAGAATTTCACAAGTTCAAACTCTAGTGTGACTGCAGCATTAGTTTGTGAAACTTCACAAGATCAAGTCTCCTACCATGTCATGTAAATCCATTTTGTTTTAGAGATGTTTAGATTTTTTTAACAGAAAAAGAAAGGCTATTTTCGAAAATGTTTCTCAACAATCCAGTTCACACTTCTAAGGTTTGCGGTGCACAGGAACCTGGCGTGATTTCAACATCATAAAGGGTCAATTTATCACAAATGACAACAGGTAAATAAAAGGGTGCATTTAAGCAGCTTCGTCTCATCTTTCTTCCATTCTCATCATTATTCATCACGATGCATCAACAAGGCTGAGAAATATTCCCAGAGAAGCAAACCTTAGAAAGAACTATTAATTATTATTAGACAAAGATTCAATACCAGATTATCTAGTGCAACCTTCCAAGTAGAAGTACAGAAAAAAAAGTGTTCAAAGATCTTGAAACTAGCATGACAAAAAAAGGGAAAAATAAGTGCAGAGGTTTTAAAACAAGTCTTGGAAATAACAACAAAAAAATGGCAATGGAATCTGCATAAACATCTCAAAGCTTGATGAAGCTGTTGGCTCCGTTTAAAATGACGACAAGTGATGCTGAATTTACCGTTTTTTATGATCAAAATAACGCTGTGAAAAGTGTATGCGAATGGTGCTGACGTAAATTCTCAACAGCAGATCCTTTAGAAGGAGCTTTCAAATTTTTTTTGTGGCTTGACCACAAGCTTATGACTGCTAAAGTCAAACATACAAAAAAAAGAAATTCTCATACAAAAAGTGATTTTTATGTACATTTTCACCTTTTTTTCTTATTCTACTGAATATATGGTTAAGCATTTATACACAATTCAACGACACGCATAAAAATGATAATCACCTATAAAAATTATTAGTCAAGAATTTCGCAATCAAACAGTAAGATAATGTTTCATCCAATAACATGCATTATTCGCATCATAGCAAGTTCAATCATCACCTGTGGCCACTTTAAAAAGCACAAATCGGGGTAACAACCCACTCTTGAAGTGTTTCCATCTCTCGGCCATCTGTAGCCAATTCTATCATACACACACACACACAAAAAAAAGCAAACGAAGAAGACGACGGCATGCTCACAGAGCTCATCACAGAGCTACTGCGCTGGCGAAAACCACCCCTGTTAGACGGAGCCCACCATCCTATCCTGGCCAGAGGGTTGACAGCTTTAGAAAGATGAAAATGGAGCAGTGCAAATCTTCACAGGACAGGCAGTGGATCATGAGAGTCTGTTCCCAAAAGGAATAACCCCTAAAATTAGCATGAAACAATCCCAATTCTCCAAAACAGACCCCTGTTCCATTGCCTGTCCTGTTAAACACAAGGAAAATTGCTTGCTGAATGATGCTAGCACTTCTGCAAAAGTTTGAATCATGGTGTAGGAGAGCCGTTCTGCTTTAGGACTCCGACTTTTGGCCAGGATTGAGGACGACGGGCTCGCAAATCATTCGAGATCTTACCACGGGTGTCATGTAAACAAAATCTCTTGTTCTTTCTCAAATAGCTACCAGCAAATGGCGTTAGCTACCAGCGTTGCAATATCCATTGCAGAAACAATACTGTACACTGCATCACAAACTACAACATGGCCTCTCCTGACCCAGCTCCAGAAATACACTATATATTCTCCTCCGCAATATAAACTCCCCTGACACTACACGCTACCAATTATAAATTATCTCCTACCATCTACTTTTATAAAAAGAGGAAGAAGAAAAAGAAGAAGCATTCTGGTGGATTAATTCATTTTCTAAGAAGACGCCAAGTCAGCAGTACAGTGTGTTTTGCTGTTCTTGTGTCTGTACATAGAACTGGACACAATATGTTTGAGCTACTCTTCTAGAATTAATGTAAGAACATATACAAGGGATTTGATTAGTAAAACAACATAATCGTAAATTGTAAAAAATCATTTACGTCACACGTTACTACATGTCCTACTGCAGCCAGTGTTATACAGGGGTTAAAGTGACAGTTCACAGTTTGCCATTATTCATTCACACTCATGTTGTTGCGAAACCTTACACTGAACGTCAAAGGGGTCCAAAAGCAAGACGGTTGACTGTTTCGGCAAGTTTGAAACAACATAAGAGCAAACACATTTATTTTTGGGTGAACTATCGGGCTAAGAAATGCCTAGATTTTCAGAAACACATTGGATAAAAGGCAAAAATCACACTGTGGGGGCTATAAGTGCTCAGTTGTGAAATTTAAACTTGACCAAAACGAAGTTTATAGAGGACGGCCATTTAATTTTGAATCCATCTCCGGCCGCTCCTCTTCACATCCATAATGGGTAAAAACTCATTTAAAAACATGATAACACAATCAAAACTAATACGTTTAACATGAAAAGGGAATTAAAAAGTCAGATATGGAGAGAGCTGGTACTGCATCTTTCACAGAATTTTTTATACTGTTTCTCAATACATGAACATAAAACGGCGGTAAAATAAAGCAGGGAATATTTCATGCTGACTACGGTGATTTAAAAAAAAGCCTCTCTCACCCATCCAAAACTACAGCTATCAGGTAACCTGTTAGTCTTAATCTGATTATGACAGGCAATCAAACATGCAGCATTTTTAATCCTTTGCGACACCGGTTACATCAAAAAAAAGAAGAAGAAACAAAATGAATCCTTTAAAATTATGCATTATCATTCTTAACTAAAGGCAAGGCACATAATATGTTTTATAAAATATCGTGCAAAGTAGAAGAGGGATAAACGTCAAAACCAATGTAATACAAAGGTAAAATTCATCTGTGTCATTGGCTCTTTGCTCGAGGGGGTCTTGAAGGAGAAGTCAGGAGCATTTCGCTTCAGAGCTAATACTAAGATTATCTGCCATGCGCCCATGTCAGCGATATGGTGGTCGTCTGAGCTTAATTCTTGTGAGTTTTCTCTTGAAAGCACCATGCATTGTTATATATATATAATTCATATATAGAGATTTCCATACAATTTTCATATCAGCACCATTAAAACAAGTCATGTCTTATGTATTCTGGGTCAACTCAATAGAATGTGTATGCAAAGCCATTATAAAAGATTAGCCGAAGCAACCAGAGTTGTGTGTGGATATTATCAATATATATATTTTTGGAAATTGGCGTATGTGTTTGTGAAGGTACCTAGGAAAGCTCTGATATGTGTTGATTTCGTCATGTTCTGGTGGATTATAACGCAGTGGTGTGTGTGTGTTTTGTTCAGCCGTCTGCATTTTTCAGTGGCTAAGCGTTCGTCCATGCAGCTGAAAGAGGGGCTTGGGGGATTGCTAGGCTGTTTATCTCTCTGGGCATAAAATCAACCCCTCGAACTTATAAAACAACAACAACAACCAACCACAGTAGATGAAGCAAAAAAAAAATTCAAAATTCAAATTAAAGTTTTGCAATGTCTCAGGCACTTTTCATGGCTTCGTGATTTGGGTTCGGTAGCGTTGTAGATTAAGCCCTGATGTTATTTCATTAGTACAAATCAACACATCTCAGAGTGCAGAATAACCCATTTCTGAGGCAACCAGCCGGAGACGTGCTGGTCAAAGGCGTCCGCCTTCCAGTCAACTCTGGAACAGAGCATAATCACAGACTGACTTCCTTTTTATCTCACGTCAAACATCCAAATCATTGACATTCCTACGGATTAAAGTGTATAATCTGCTTCAAAATAAAAACAGTCATAGTTTCTCGCAATAGAAACGTGGGAGAAAAAAAAAAACTTTGTTTGTTTTTCTTCTTGAACTATGGGACTTGTATAAAAGTAATGACATAAACGTGGACACATTTACATAGAAAATGTCAGATCGTTCTGATCAGCGACTAAGAAAGCAACCCTCCTCATCTACCGAGTGATCAGAACATGACAAAAATAATCGACTCGCAGCATTTCATATGATTAGGCCAAACAGGAATTTGCAAAAGAGGAAAAAAGAATTTATAAATTCAAAGTAGTGCAATGCCTGTAATTTCCAATGGATTTCAACAAATTACAAATAGAGATAGAGAGAGAAAAAAAAAACTATCCTCTACACCCAATACTGTCTAAGTAATGACAGAACTATATTTCAACTCCCTTTGTCACTATGTGGAAAACTCCACGTATCTACATGAATCAAAAACCCTCTAAATCTGTGCATTCACAGAGATGAATAAGGGACTACCAATGTTTATGACACGCACAAACACACGGGCACGCACACGTGCACACACACTTACTGTACAGGGGAGTCCAGGGAATGAGGGGTTTTCATATTGCGAAGAGAGGAAGGTGCTAATTCACCCCCGCTTTTCCCTGGGTCGTCCTATGAAGGCTGTATTACAGCTCACACACACACCTCGTGTAGCCTTTAACAGTACAAGCCATTGCCTCGAAATAGGTGCGTTTACTTGTAAGTGTGTGTGTGTGCGCGTGTGTGTATAAACGCTAACTGTGATGTAGAATGTCACTGAGGTACCACTAAAATTCCTCCGATGTACAAAAAGCATGACGGGTGTCCACCAAAAAGTGGACTCCTTTAGAAACGGTGGAGAATGCAATTTCGCCTCTGAACCAAAGCAAGGACGCGGGTACATGATTGTCAATAAAAGTGGATGAAAAGTAGCCTTTTCGTTTTTGTTTTCCGAAATGTCGTGTGAGCGGAAGCATCAAACTTTTCCGTTTTTCCTTTTCCAAGTCGTGTTGCCTTACAAAAAAAGAAAAAGAAAAGAATCAAAACAGACCGTGCTCACCTCCAAACCTGTGGCGAAATGCTAGCGGAAAAACCCCTTCCTTGAGGTTTCTCTTCCCTGTTCGTTAAGAAAATAAAGGATACTTATTTTGCATATAGGAGGAAGCAGCACCTGTAGCAGAAGGAGGGGGTTGAGGAGAGGCATTCCAGGAGTCAGGATGGGCCTTTTTTTCCCAACATGTCCGTCAATGTACGCCATAGTTCGGGCTGCCCTCCCAGAATAAAAACAAACAAACATCCTCCTCTTCTGTCTCCTCTTCTATGGCCGTTTTCTCTCATGCTCTTCTCCATTTCTTCTCCAGTCTTTTCAAAAACAAGTGTATTGAAGCATCTTATACTGTCGTTATGCATATATAAATATGTGTGCACATATATCTATACACACATATTGTGTATATATATGTGTGCGTGTGTATATATACAAATACTGCATATATATCAGATTTTCCCTCTTGCATCTCGTTCACGACTTTTTTTTCCTCTTGTAAATTCCACAAAAATGATTTTTCAGATCCACGTCTGTGCCTCCTCGGGTTCGTCTCTTTGAGTGTGTGTGGTGATAATCAGTTCCCCAGATACCAGGACTGAAAGAGAGAGAAAGAGAGAATCAGAATCATTAAGACATCTGTACAAACAGGAGTAACACAATAGGAGGAGCGCTACGGGATATCCATCTAAATCAGATAAAAACTCATCTGAAGCCGACCGCAGTCTAGTCGACATGGATCCGTTTCCTCTAATCTGAATGCACAGGGTGATTTATATGGGTTTCTTACACTATGGTCGCTTTTGGCTTTTTTCCCCTACTTTATTTAATTTCTCTACTAACGACATCCAAGCATTCATCACAAGTGTACTGGCATTTTTCTGAAAACACCCACCACAATTACTGTGTGCCAATTAAGAGGCTGCATACTTTGGAGACTGAATGGGTCACTGTGGTGCTACAAATCCTGTCCCATTTTGAAGGCTACTTCAAAAGCAGTTTCAAAATGCATCCTTCGTTTTCCAAGCAATCCAGAATTAAACAGACATCCCAAGATCTATGGCAAGCAGATGACAATGGAATGTTTTAAAAAAAAAGTTACATATTTAAATGCAAGTACTGCATCAGTTTACTTGGATATCTAAAAATGCAAATGTTAACAATACTAACAAATAAAGCATTTTAACATATATTTAACTTATTTACGTGTATTTTTTTCAGGATTTTTATTTTGAATCAATTTGCAACAATTTCAAAAAACGTTTTTCACATTGTCATTATGGGCTATAGTGTTTAGAATTTTGAGGAAACAAATTAATTTGATCCATTTTGGAATAAGGCAGTAAAATAAAAAAGCACTATCAATACTTTCCAGATGCACTGCATATAGTTATGTAACATAATTTATACATAGGTTATGTTAAAATACAATATATAGTATTGTTTACAGTTTTGGGGAAAGTTACTTTGGAAAGTAGTTGAGTTACTCCCCAAAAAAGTAACTAGTTTACGTTACTTAGTTACTTTGAATGGGAAGTAATGCGTTACGTTACTTTTAAGTTAATTTGGTGTTACTTTTTCTGACCTGGCTGAGGCTTGATCTCTTTCAGAACTTGCATGGTTTTTAAATAGAGGATCTCTCAAATGAGCAGAACACTTTATAACCTTCATTTACCTTGAAAAACTTCAGAGATAGACCATCTTGAAAACTGTAAACACTAACAATGGTCCTAAAGTATTTGCTGTTTTACATTTTTAATTTTTATTGCTTCTGAGAATCCAAAAAGGTCAACATATTGATAAATAATGTTATGACGGATGATTTAAAATCAAGTTATGATTGAATTGCTTCTTGTTACAGTTAGGAAATAGTTTAACATCAAGCAGGAAATGTTCACGGACCATTGACATTACAACATTGAAATGTTCTATACATGCCATATTTACAGATTACTGAAAGTTTCAAGCAATGCGCTTCTTACTTTTGCAATTTTTGTCTTATTAAAAAGTAAAATCACTGTCCAGTCAAACAATCCTCTTTTCCTTTTCTTCCATGTTTTCAAAATAATGAGAATATTTCCATCGCAGAAATGTAAAACTCCGCTGTCTTCATTTCTGTCTGTTCCCGTATCTCTCGTTGCATGGGGGACTCAACCTAATTTTGTTGATTGATTTTAATTCAGCCATTTATTAGAGAGAATTAACTAAACTAAAAAACTTGCATTAAATCCTTTAAAAAGTCATTCAAATATTATTATTGAATTTTTTAAAAATAATGCTTTAGTCTACTTAGAAAAGTAATATTATTATTAAACTAATTTTTGCGTTTGTGTGTGTGTGTTTGTAAGAAATTATGAGAAAGTTTTTCAAATATATCACAATTATTAAGTGGTGTTTAACATCTTTAAATAATTGACTATATAACTAATAAGTAATAATAATGACCTTAGCAGTTATTTTAAAAACACTTTTTAAATACACAGATTAAGATCCCGTTTAATATCAGCATTAAGAATAAACATATTTTTGATAAGATGATACACAATAAAGTATTTTGTTTATGAGTAATGTTTACTCTTTTGGGGTCAGTAAGATTTGTTTTAGGAAACTAGTTTTCAGCAAAAGTGTGTTTAATTAAATAAAACTTTATTTCAACATTGGTGAATTTCATCATCGCAATAATTTTTACTGTTTTTCTAATTCTAAAAAAATCCTATTCATAAGCATACAAATAATTTAAAAGAACCCAATTTCATTACAATCAGGCCATTTCTGATAATGGGCAGCGAACACTTAGTTGAGGGCCAGAATTGAGGAATCTATTAAAACTAATACACTGTAAAAAGCTCTGAATGCCAGACAAAGAGAGGGGGAGAGAGAGAGAAAGAGAGAGAGAGAGCTTAGCAGGATCCCACCCAAACCATTTAAAAGCAAAACAGGACTTTGGCTTTCGTTCACAGACCGCTGAAGTCTTTTTAAAACTTGACAAGGTTTAAAAACAGAAAAAAGAGGGGTTCATGCCATAAGTTCCTGGCTCAATATTTTCCACTAAGGTTTAAGTAATTTCACAGCAGTCCAGCAGACGGCTTTAACTACCCTCTAATGTATTGATTTAATAATGCTAAAAAAGGAAAATTTGTTCCTACTCCCTGCTGAAAAGTTTGTATACATCAGATTGATGACTTGATTCTTGCACAGCACCAAACCACAGACTAACTGCTGCCCAAATCCACAATGCAATGGCCAGATATTAGCACACAGCCTTGAGAATCGGAGTTAAAATCCTTTGACACATTTCAGTATAAAAACAGCAGTGGCGCCAAGGAGTGCTGGCAGCTCTTGTTCATTGATCAAGGAGCAGTTTCACTATCTGGACCACATGCACGACCAGGTATCTAAAATTACATGCCACAATATTAAACTATAATCATACAGTGCATCAACATCTTTCAAGTCTTTGCTTAATGAAGTCGATTTGGACTTCTGGAGCCAAGGCATAGTTCAACCCAAAAGAACCAACACAAGTTCAGTAGCACTTGCTGAGGATGTGTATTAAATTAATAATGTTGTAAATCATGTTTAGTTTCTTGCACACTGATTGTTTTGCTTCATAAGGCCTTTATGTATTAGCAGGAGCCACATGTATTCATTTAGTTTTGCTGTTTGTTCTGCTGTTGACCTACACTTTATGATGCTGAAGCACAATGATTTCAGCTGTAAATCATCTATAATTTTTTACAGAAGAAAAAATTCACTTGCAGTGCATCTTAATTGGTCTGAAAAGAGTAAATTAACAGCAGTTAATTAATAAATATATCTATATACGCATACAGTTGAAGTCAGAATTATTAGCCCCCCTGTTTATTTTTTCCCCAATTTCTGATTAACGGAGAGAAGATTTTTCAAAACATTTTTAAACATAATAGTTTTAATAACTCATTTCTAATAACTGATTTATTTTATCTTTGCCATGATGAGAGTAAATAATATTTGACCCTTAAAAACAACCCTTACAGAAAACATTCTACAATTTTACATTTTCATTTTACATTTTCCTCATGGGGAACTCACTAATGACAAAATATAATGGTATTGCTATACTTGCGGGGACATCCAAGGTAGATACCAAAGTTTGTTTTTGTGAATTTTTAGAACACTTCATAGATGTAATATTCTTATACTTGTTATGGCTGTTATGGCCTAAAGAGCTTCCTAGCTCGTGAATCAGTAGATCATTTACATGCATTCATTACACGTAGGAACACTGAGGCTGTGTCCAAAATCACCTACCACTCAAGTAGGTATTACGTTTGAATATAAGAACTTTCATCATGACTGTTAGAAAAGGATGTTCTGTATAGTATGAATGGAATTGGGACATACTACATAATTGCAAAATACATGTTGTTATTTCCATTATTCTCTTCCTTAATTGGCCTCATGGGATAGTTTAGTATCTATTGGATGTGCGCTTTAGAATCTTGCTGGAAGTAGCAGGTTATTCGAGTACTATTTCTCAAATACTATGAATTCGCACTCCTACTACTTTGCTCACATACTGTTTTTCACATGCAAAACAGTATGGAAGTACGCGATTTGGGATGCAGGATGTCAGTTCATTGTGATTATTTCATGTTACTCTCTGTGTTTCCGTCAGGACTCTCAGTGGCTTTGTGCGTTGGACTTTTCCTGTGCTTTGATATCCAACTGAGACTTTCCAGTACTCATTCCTGTAGCGACTGTTGCATTTGAACTCTGTTTGTTTTGTTTTTGATCTGCACTTTTGCGATTGCTTCACAGATAAACTACACTTGCAGTTGGATTCTTTTGTTGATTCTTTTCCTTTCGCTCGGCGTGACAGAGTGTGACAAAACTGGAATTTATTTCACACCTTTTTAAAATGAATTTACATTTTTATAAAATCATTATATATAAATAATTTGATTAATGACTGTACTGCTGCTGGTACGTGAAACAATCAAAAATATTTCTAGATTGTTCTGTACCTGTCTATGTTAAATATAGACCCATATATTTAACCCCCACTAGGTTAAATATAAATAACAGCTTCTATTTAAATAAACCATATATTGTATTTTGCTATGTTCAGTGAGTTGGTTGACATGATTCATAATTAGCGCTTCAGAACTTAAGGGAACATGGTGAGCGTCAACTTTCTCTTTTCACAGTCCACTGCAAATATTTCAGCACTTTGAAAGAATTGAGAAATCCCTTAAAGTGTTTGACTCCCTAATCAGTGCGCTGTATGCTGAATAAGAAAGCTGATTGAGACGCACCCTTGATCACTTTGGCTTAATCTGAAAAGCTGATGGTTGAAGTCACAAAGTCAGGGTCTGTCAGATAACTACAAAACCACCAGTTCCCATTTTTGTTCAATTTCCCTTTACTAGAACTTCTGTGTTAAGCTGCTTTGACACAATCTACATTGTAAAAGAGCTATAGAAATAAAGATAAATTGAATTGACACCAATAGCAGGGAGGTATATTGTCTAACTCTCTCTAAAATAACACATTTAAGCTTTTAATACTGCATTTAAGCATTCATATACTGTATTTATTTGGAAATGTTGTAAAAAT